AATTCGGGAGGTAACTGATAATCACCGACATGATTTTGTTTTACATAATGGTTACCTATTTCGGGGATTGCAGTTATGCATTCCGGATTGTTCACTAAGGCAGCAGATTATGAGTGAACTTCATAACGAAGGACATTTTGGGCGAGACAAGACATTGGCATTGGTCTCTTCTGATTATTACTGGCCCAAGTTGAGCAGTGATGTAGCGCATTATGTGGAGCGGTGTTATGTATGTCAACGGTCTAAAGGGGCTCTTACTAATGCTGGATTGTACACACCATTACCCGTACCTGAAGCTCCTTGGTTTGATGTCAGTATGGATTTTATCTTGGGCTTACCTCGTACACAGCAGGCGATGGATTCCATTTTTTGTTGTGGTTGACAGATTTTCAAAGATAGCTCATTTTGTGGCTTGCCGGAAGACAATGGATGCTACTCGGATTGCTCATCTTTATTTCAGAGAGATCATGCGTTTACATGGTGTCCCACAGTCAATTACTTCTGATCGTGATACTAAGTTTATGAGTCATTTCTGGAGGAGTTTGTGGGAGAAACTTGGAACGAAATTGAATTTTAGCAGCGCATACCATCCCCAAACAGATGGTCAGACTGAGGTGGTGAATCGAAGTTTGGGAAATCTTTTGAGAAGTTTAGCCGGGACTAAACCGAAGCAGTGGGATTTGGCATTACCTCAAGCAGAGTTTGCTTATAACCGGTTGAGGAATAGAACCACCGGACTGAGTCCTTTTGAAATTGTCTATGGTCGAAATCCATCCGGAGTACTTGATTTGGCTCCAATTCCACGTGTGGGTCGCTTCAATAATAAAGCTGATGAGATGGCTGAACATCTTCGAGGTATCCATGAGCAGATGAAGCTATCCATACAGGATAGTAATACTGAGTACAAAGTTCAGGCAGATAGTCATCGACGCCAGGTGTTGTTTGATGTTGGTGATTTTGTTTGGGCAGTATTAACTCGTGATCATTTTCCAGTTGGGGAATACAATAAGCTAAAGGAGCGGAAGATTGGACCTTGTGAAGTGCTGCAGAAGATCAATAATAATGCTTACAAGTTGCGCCTCCCGAGCCATTTGAAGACCTCTGACGTCTTCAACGTAAAACACCTAAGCCCTTGTTTTATGGAGTCCGATGAAATTACTGTGAACTCGAGGGCGAGTTCTTTTCAACCCGGGGTGACTGATGCAGGAGGATCCGAGTCAAATGATGCTGATTTGTCAGATTACACGATGATGGCGCTGAGATACCATGAGATGGCGGATCGGCGCAAAGATGGAAAGTAAATCACCATTATTTCCTTAATTGGGAGATTTTGACGCGTCTTTGGTAATTTGACCATAACTTTGGCTATGGTTATCGGAATCGCTATTATGACCCCAATTCGGAAAGCTCTCTTCGGCGCGCACGTTGTGGCCACCCAGCTTTGCTCGGTGGACGTCAATTTCAAGCCCAGAATCCACTATTTTCCTTTCCTAAATTCAATTTTAAGTTATTTTTTACTATTTATGGTAATATTTAGTTTCCTTTTTTTTATATGTTAGAGAACTCGAATTAAGCCAAATTTTTGGCAACTTACTTCTTTTACTTAATATTTTATTTTGGTATAATTTCGGGATTTTGCCATTTTTGGTAATTTTCCAATAATTTCGTATTTCGCAGCTATTTAACCCGGCTTGTGGGTTCGTTTTCAGCATTCTGCATTATTAATAATATTGAGTTGAATTCAGAGTATTTTCTCTGTTTTTTTGGGCGTTTTCTGTCGTTCTTTTCTTGCGAATCATCTGCTACAACAAACCAATAGGATAATCACTATCCTACTCGGCGTCAGCATGACAGATTAAATGTTTAACCATAGAAAAAAAGGAGCCTAGTTTTAAATGATAGTGTCATAGAATACGAATGCAACTACTACCATATACACATAAGAAATAAAATCTTAATACAAAAACTACAATTACAAAACGAAATTACTTCACTACTAGATTCCAAAGAAACTACTACATCCATAAAATGCATAAGTAAAATAAGGTCATTACATTTAACTACTACAACACATTCATGCCCATTGCCTTTCTTATCTCCGTCTCCATTTCCTATTCCTTTGTGTATTCTCACGTTGAAAGAAATATTCACATCCCATCGATCAGGTAATCGGCATCGTGATTGAAACGTGGCAAATAGTTCTTCACCTCCTTTGTTTGTCATATGATTCCGCAAAGATGGAAAGTAAATCACCATTATTTTCTTAATTGGGAGATTTTGACGCGTCTTTGGTAATTTGACCATAACTTTGGCTATGGTTATCGGAATCGCTATTATGACCCCAATTCGGAAAGCTCTCTTCGGCGCGCACGTTGTGGCCACCCAGCTTTGCTCGGTGGACGTCAATTTCAAGCCCAGAATCCACTATTTTCCTTTCCTAAATTCAATTTTAAGTTATTTTTTACTATTTATGGTAATATTTAGTTTCCTTTTTTTTATATGTTAGAGAACTCGAATTAAGCCAAATTTTTGGCAACTTACTTCTTTTACTTAATATTTTATTTTGGTATAATTTCGGGATTTTGCCATTTTTGGTAATTTTCCAATAATTTCGTATTTCGCAGCTATTTAACCCGGCTTGTGGGTTCGTTTCAGTATTTGGCATTATTAATAATATTGAGTTGAATTCAGAGTATTTTCTCTATTTTTTGGACATTTTCTATCGTTCTTTTCTTGCGAATCATCTGCTACAACAAGCCAATAGGATAATCACTATCCTACCCGGCGTCAGTTTAACACAATAAATTATACAGAGAGAACCAGAAATATGAAGAAAAAGAGATTCATGTCCCTAACACCAAATTCCAGTTCTTCCAATTTTTCGAAGCAAGAAGCCCAGTTCTTCCAGCATTTTTTATTGGGAAAATTGCAGTAGCGGTGGGGTGGGATGGGATAGGGGTGGGGAAGAAGAAGATAAATAGTAGTTTCTTTTATTTTTATTTGGTATATTAGTTTATTTGTTTTATTATAGAGTTAAATAGCAAAATTTACCTTTCTATATTTTTAAGTTGGTCAAAAATTGGTCAAAATTCAATTTTATTGGTCAATTAACAGTCAAACGGACGGTTTCAATCCATTTGAACCCTCGGTGCATATTTTTGAAATGTTTGGGACTATGGGTGGCATAAACGAAAGCTTTGGACAAAGTCTGCTAATAAACGAAAGGTTTGGTACCTCGGCTGCAATTTTCACTAAAGAAAATGCCAAATAAAATGAGATACTCACGTTTCTTAAATGTCATGAAAATAATATTTAATAATTGTCGCATCTTCAACAATATTTGACTAATTGAGCATAAAGCTTGAGGTAAAATTCAAACTAGAGTTAGGCTAACACAGATATTTGGACCAAAATCTAACAAATTCTTCTTTATTTTCCATATGGGCTGGGATATAGCCCATCCCAACCCTCACTCCGCCCATGATCGTGTATTTATAGATTCCAATCAAAACCAAAAATAGTGTCAAAAAATCATGAAAAGTTGCAAGCTTTTCACCAAATATTACCAAGAATTCAAACAGAAACCAGCATTAACGGCTATTTTTTAGTTCTATGCGACTGCGTAGAACAACTCGCATAGAACAAACCCATGTGGATGTATAGGTTAATACTCATAGGGCATATGAGTCATGTATGTCCTTATGCGATCTCATGTCACAAAGGCCTATGCACCTCCAAATCCCTTTTTTTATTTCAAAACATATTTTATTGATTTTGAGCAATAATTTCAACAATCACTCACTTGTTTAATATTCAATAAAATTTCATATTTAAAATATACAATCCCCATGCATAAAAATTAAATATCTTTCGATTTGAATCTAATAGCATAATTCAATTAAAATAAAGTCGAAATTAAAGGTAGTAAGAAAGCTTCGAACCAATCATTCCTTGTAACAATGCTAGTTAGAACACACACACAAGTATCATGTGTTCTCAAGTTCCTTAATCTCACTTAGTGCTAATATGGTCTTGCGCGCATCCTATTCAACGAACTTTTAAGAGAGAAGCTCCAACTTTCTATTAAGACGACACCACATTTTCAAAAGTTTGAGCAACAATAAATTTAACAAAGCTCCACTTTAGTAATTACCTAAGCAAAAAGTTGCAAATCTGTGCCTTGCAAAATTAAAATAAACATACTAATTTGAGAACTGCTTAAATCAAATCAGCTGAAGTTAGTTCGGGGCTCTGCTCATATTGCAAAATGTGGAAACCTTTATCGCAGGGTTATCGACGTGGATGAGCTCAAAGACACAAGTATCTCAAACCTTGAGGTTTTTTTCCTTAATAAATGTCACCAATCCTTGGTTCCAGGGGCGGACCCACATGGGGTCATGTGGGGTCAAATGACCCCACGGTTTTTTTCCATTTTTTTTTTTTTTTTTTTTTATTTGCGTTTCTGCTCCTGAAAGAAAAGGTTGGGTTTGGGGTTCCAAATCCAATTGAATCAATCAATAAAATAATTTTGCACCAGCCCATTAGCCCAATGTAAATCCATTATCCACATTCCACTCCAATCCAATTTCTAAGAGGTAAAACCGAGTCCAAGATGGTAAGAGTGTAAGACCAATCCATTATCCACTGATTCCACTCCACCCCGTCTCCCCTGTCTCTAGCTGTGTTCGGTGACCCGTCTCCCAGCTCACTCTCCCCACTCCCCAGCGACCAGTGCAGTCCCCAAACAGCAGCAGCACAGGCGGCAGGCATGAAGGGCGAAGCGTTCCTTTTCCAATTTCCACCGATTTCTGCAGTCAGTACCTTCATGTTCCACTTTCGGCTTTCGGTAAGTTAATTTTGTAGGGTTTGGATGAACATATTAAATGAAATTGGATGAACACATTAATTGAAATCTTCATTATTCTGATTCATTGTCACCGACTCACACTCACTGATTTGGTCATTTTGGTGTGAACCGTATGATTGTATGAAAGTATGGAATGGATTCATGGACCGTAAGTCACCTGTCACCGTATGATATGGATAATGGAATTGATTTTTTACAATTTGGGAAAAATCATTTACAATGGAATTGATTTCACTGCAGTGACTACTATGTACTGAGGTAACTGAGCTCAGTAGCTCACTGCTGCTGCTGGAAGTTCTTGGAGGCTGGAGGCTGGAATTTAGAAGTTAGACCTCAATTCCAATTCCAATTCCAAGTAAGTAATGGCTGACTTTCTCTAATTTGGGGATTTATAATTGTTTATGGAATTCAATTAATTGTTGTTTATTATCAATTTAGTGTTATGCTTTGATGAAAACTGATATATGTTATTTATTCATTGATATGTGATTCTGTGTTGAATTTATTTTTTTTAACAGTCATGGAGAAATATTTTAAACGAAAATTCGAATGTTCAAGTGGAGAGCAAATTAATTATGAAACGAGTGTTCAAAAAAAAACAAGTTGTCCAAGAAGAAATAGAATCAAATACCGGGAGTCAAAGAGATGTTTGGGATAAAATTGATTTAGCAGAATTACCTTCGGATCCTGGATTAAGAACTCCAATTGCGAATTACAATGTTAATGTTCAGGATGAAATTCGAAGAGCATACGTACAAAAGGGTCCATGTCAACCCCGAAATCACTTGTGTCCACAGAAAGAATTTGGAGATTCGTCGTTAAGACGATTTAAAACTTCATGGTTTAATGACTTTCCTGATTGGTTGGAATACAGTATAGCAAAAGATGCCATATTTTGCTTTTATTGTTATCTTTTCAAACCAAATAGTGAAGAACATGGTGGTGGTGATTCTTTTATTGATGGAGGATTCTCAAATTGGAAAAAGAAAGAAAGGCTTCAAATTCATGTCGGGAAAAGTGGTAGTGTGCACAATCGAGCTCGGATTAAGTATGAGGCTTTTGTGAATCAGAAACAAAATATTGATTGTGTTCTCTTTAAGAAGTCGAAAAAAAACAAAAGATGAGTATTGAATTCGTTTGAATGCGTCAATTGATTGTGTTCGATTGCTTCTACGACAAGGGCTTTCGTTTTGTGGATATGATGAATCAGAAAATTCAAGAAATCAAGGAAATTTCTTGAATTTTTGCAGTGGTTATGTGATCATAATAAAGAGATTATGGATGTTTGTTTGAGTAATGCTCTCGAAAACCTTCAGTTAACATCACCTAAAATTCAAAAGGACATTGTGAGTGCTATTGCATTTGAAACACTTGATGTTATTATGAGGGATATTGGTGTTAGGTTATTTTCCATTCTTGTTGATGAATCTCGTGATGTATCAGTGAAGGAGCAAATGTCTGTTGTTCTACGTTATGTGAATCAGAAAGGACAAGTAACATAATGTTTTATTGGAGTAGAACATGTCTCTAGTACCACAACTCTTTCACTTAAGGATTATATTGATCACTTATTCTCTCGATTTAACTTAAGTATATCTAGTTTAAGAGGTCAAGGTTATGACGGGGCAAGCAACATGCGAGATGAGTACAATGGTCTTAAATCACTTATTTTGAAAGAGAATCCAAGTGCTTTTTATATACACTGTTTTGCTCATCAACTACAATTAGCTCTTGTAGCTGTGGCAAGCAAGCATGCAGAAATTGAAACATTCTTTACTTTAGTGAATAAAGTGGTAAATGTTGTTGGTGGATCGGCTAAGCAATGTGATCTTCTTCGAGAGAAGAAGAGGCTTGAAGTTGTTGAATCATTAAATCTTGGTGAAATCTCAAGTGGAAAGGGCCTTAATTAAGAAACTACTCTTAAGCGACCTGGTGATACTCGTTGGGGCTCTCACTATAATTCTTTACTTAACTTGATTATCATATTTTCTGCTACAGTTGATGTCGTTGAGATGATTGCCACTGATGATACTAGTTGTGGAAAGTGAGGGGAAGCACGTATTTTGTTGGGATCTATGTTGACATTTGATTTTATATTCAGTTTGCATCTCATGAAAAAGGTATTGGGTATTTCAGATGAATTGTCGAAATCATTACAAAGAAGAGATCAAGATATTGTCAATGCTATGAAATTAGTGAAAATAAGTAAAGAACGACTTCAAGCAACGAGGGACAATGAATGGGAATCATTTTTAAGAACAGTTTCCTGCTTTTGCGAAAGATACAATATTGATGTTCCCAATATGGACGATATGTTTATACCTCTAGGCCGTTCACAGCGTAACACTCAAGAAATTTCAAATTTACATCATTTTCGTGTGGATTTCTTCTATGCTATCATCGATATGCAAATTCAAGAGTTGAATGATCGTTTCTTTGAGGTAAATAGTGACTTACTCCTTTGTGTTGCATGCTTGTGTCCGGATAATTCATTCTCTGCTTTCAACAAGGATAAGTTAATTCAATTGTGTGAGTATTATCCCAAAGATTTTAAACCAATAGAGATCTTGGCATTTGAAGAGCAAATTCAGACGTATATTATTGATATGCGCTCTCACAAAGATTTTGAAGGGTTACAAGGCCTTAATGATCTTGCAGAAACCTTGGTTGTGACGAAAAAACATGAGGTGTACCCATTAGTTTACAGGCTTGTAACATTGGCGTTAATTCTTCCAGTTGCAACTGCTACGGTAGAAAGAGTATTTTCTGCTATGAAGATTGTCAAGAATCGACTACGTAATCGAATGGGAGATCAATGGTTAAGTGATAGTTTGGTTGCATATATTGAAAGCGATGTACTTGACAATATTGATAACGATGTAATTATACAACGTTTTCAAAGTATGAAAACGCGTAGGCTACAATTGTAGTAGCATATGAATTTATTTTTGTTAATGATATGTTGTTCGAAAAAAATTTCATTTTTGACCCCACAGTCCGAAGTCTCTGGGTCCGCCCCTGCTTGGTTCAAAACCAAAACCTTACCTTCTCTTAGATGGACGACGCTAAGCAGCCACTTCTTACCACCACAATCATGAAGTTCAAGGCTCTTTAGAGAACTTGGCAGATGCGCAAGAAATGCGGGTGGCATGTACTTCAGAAACCGGAAAATTTGCACCATAAACGAAATATTGTAAACTCAAATTTGGAGAAAGAAACATAAATCGGTAACATAAAACTCTTATCTTACCAATATCTTTCCTGACAGATTGTATGGTTTCAACATGACAGTAAACGAAGGATTCTTGGGCAAAAATTTTCCTGCTGCATGTAACACAACTTTTAAATTTCAAATGATTATTTCTTTTCATTTTTATACTTCAACAATTTGCATAAGAGGAAATCCTTTCTAGAAGCAATCTTACTGATCAAAATAGAACATACTTGACTTAGCTTTCTGATTGGCTTCAGTACATGGGATTGCCTCTCTGACATTCTTGGTTATGGGATTCTTAGGTTTGCTTTCGTTGAGGTGAAGTGATTTATCCACGACACCTTTAGTGGGTTGAGATGTATTTGACTTGCCATGACATGACATGACTTTTCTTCGTGTTAGATAACGATGCTGATATTTTGATGTCTCGGCTGAATTTATTTTCTCTCCGTTGACTCTATAGGCAAATTCAGTTGAAGAAAAAGACAAATCATACATGGTCTGATGATTACTAGTTGCCTTACCCATGACTTCATTTCTAGGGGGGCAGGCCACTGGTTTGCCAGCGATGGAAGATAGTATTTTAACAGTCATCATCACTGTGCTCTTCCATTATAGGGGGGATCAATGGTTTACCAGTGAAGGGATCTAAACTTCTTACAGAGTCATCAGAGATAGAATTCTTCTGTGTATTTGTTCCTTCAAACTTACGCTTACCATTTGGCGGATAGTAAACCTCAGTGGCTGTCAAGTCAAATACATGCTCATTAAAATTTGAGTTTCCAGTGTATTTGAAGAGTAAAAAGTAGCCAAAACGGACAGAATGGTCCTCAAGAAACTTTTCCCAGCCGTCATTAAACCAAAGAGACTCCTCCACCTTTTCCAGTCTCACACACCAAAGGGCACCAATAGAACCATTAAGTCTAACAACATTGGAGAGTTGATGACCATATATTTTAACAAATTTGTTGGGGATCTTCTGCACAAAAATACGTAATAATTTATTATATATACAAACAAAAAAATGCAGAAATTTCATCCGAATAAACCCTAAACTTTGTCTCATTTATGCAAGTTGTTATTTCAGTTAGCAAACTACCCCAGGAGGCAAATACAAGAATCTCATTAATAATTAAGAAGAAATGAAAATTACCAGTTTGTGAAGGGAAGTGATTGAGGGAAAAATAACTTTGAAGAATCTTGTTGCTTCTAAATCCATTTGTTGCTTTGTGTTCAATACTCCTGTTAATATTCATAGTGTTTCGAATCCAGATGAAGAGTCAAGCCTTAATTATGCCTTACAGATAATTAGTATCAAGTATCAATTGTTATTGGTGTCTGTCCCACTACTCTATGTTCAATATCAACTTTAATTTTATATTATTTTGTATTCAATCCATTTGAATTTATAATTATTGCTATTCTCAAAAAAAAAAAAAAAATATTGATATTGCGAAATTGGTGCCTTCATTAGTACTATTCAGAGTGCCAAAGGGCATCTTTAGTAGAATTGTTTGCTTGTAATTATTACTAAAATACGTGGTTGCAGACGTGAGTTCAAAAATGAGAGAAAGTTAAGAACCTTCATTAGAATTAACACGTGGATATAACTATTTTATTAATTTTAAAAATAAGTTAAAAGCAAAAAAGGTCTATTCATTTTTTCCAACTTTTATTAATTGAAAAAGTATCTATTCATTTACTCAAATGATATGTAAATACTTACAGGAAAGCTTTCGAGCTTACCAAGTATGCATTAAAATTTATGGACGTTATTATTTTTTAAGTGCTAAAACTAAAAGATGTATTTTAAACAAATAGGTTTGGAGATTTAGCAGACTGAAGTTATCCACGCAGGCCTTCTAATTAATTTTTTGTTTGAGTAAATTAAAAAATATATAGAAATATATAAAAACCAAGATAGTCAATGCCATTAATTCAACTTACCTAAGCATGTAGTAAAAATGTTTAGTAAATAAATTTTCAAAAATGTTCCAATGAGTGAGAAAGAGGAAGATAGCTGAAAATTGGTTAAAAAATCGTATGTAAAAGTATACTAAAAATGGAAAGGGGATACAATAATAATTTTGGCTAGAAAACTTATAAAAATTTTGCACTTAGATTATGGATAATGAGCTTTGGTGACCCGGATTTTTGTAATGGCATTGTGGACAACAGATGTCGAGCCCACTCACGTCTATGCGAACAACTTTCAACACGTTAAGATTGAAATAACCAATTGGAGGATCTCCAGCAGCAATGAATGTGGGAGATGCTCAATCTCATCTCATACTAATGTAAATGGGCCAAATGTTGCTAATGAACCGAGTTCCATGCCCAAGATGAGGCTTTTTTTTTTTTTATTAATATGCCCAATTAAATTAAATAGTCAATATCATATCGGTCAATGTAAGACTTCCCCCATCACACAGATGCTACGTAATTTATAGATGTAACAATAGTCTCCTAAGTTAAGTTGTACATTCATGTGCGGGTTGGACTTTAAAATATAAGTAGTCAACTAGGTGAGATCTTACAAATTGTCTCAAAAATATGAGCAGCTCCAATATGAGGACTTACGAACTACCTCGAAAATATCTGTGTGAGCTTGAATAAGTGGAGGTTTTAGATTGCCTCGAAAGGTAGATATCGCATATGATTTGTCAATAGTTAATTCGGATCATAAAATGATTATTGAAAATTACATAGGATCAATTGGATGCAATTTGAAGTGTCAAATGAGTGAAATCAAGTTGAAGTATTTTCACCAATCAATTTTCAATTGAAGAAGTTATGCTTTAAATTTTTAGCCTCAATTTAAGACCCATTTTTTGGATAGCAAACTTTCGAATTGAAAATATTTTATTTTAAGAAGAATTGTAGCTCTTTTGAGCTAGATTTCCTTGAAGAAATGAGAGATAGATTTCAAGCAAATTTGGCTATTTACTAGCAAAAAATGGCTAAGTATTATAACTCTAAATTTAAGAAAAAGTCATTTTTGCTTGAACAACCTTGTGATACGAAAAGTGTTCCTATCTTCTAAACAGCCAAGAGTAGGAACTCTAGGCTGTAATTGGGAAGGCCCTTATTGCATCAAGGAAGAGGTTCGATCAGAGAGCTATAAAACTATAAGTATGGATGGAAAGGCGTAGCCTCATCCATGGAATGCAGAGCATTTACGAAAGTACTACCATTAGAAATGTAAATGAATTTTATATACGATTTGTTTAAATTAAATGAAAGTTCCATATTAAAAATATCTATTTGCGAAAAAAATACCTCTCGTTAACTAAATTATGGGAGAAGCATGTGCATAGATGAACCATCCCTATGTGGAGAAGTGGGGCACCTCGACGACGAGGTGGATCCTATCGAAGGCATAATGGCTTGGAGATATTAACACCTCCTCCCATGGTTAGAATAGGCAATTAGAGCATTTTCAATAGGCTCTTTAAATATAAGATGATATTTATTTTAAAAATTAACCTTTAAAATTATGTTCTAAGAGACTACTTAAATTAACATTTTAAAAATAAAGAGAGTTTTTCTCTCCAAATTTAGTGTGTCAAACTCACTCTCTATAATTAGATGTACTCAAAGTACTTCAATTAAATGGAAAAAATAATATAGTAATTTCGAGGAAAACTAGGGAAAATAAAATATAAGAAAAAATAATAAATATTTTTTCAAATATTACTTAGAAATATTTACACTCTAATTTATAAAATATGCTATTTAAAAGTAAAGAGTCTCCTGAAAATACTTTTAGCCAACCGAAATGTGCAAACCACTTTACAATCCCTACACTATTAGTCATATTTTCCATTCAGAAATAAATTTTTATACAAAAATGATTTTTATTATAAAATAATATTTTATTTATAAAGTAATTTTTTAGTTTATATACAAATTTTTTAGTTCAAGGATTTTTATTTGTAGGTTAATTTTGAACAAAATATGTTAAATTAAAAATAATTATTTATAAAGAATAAAATTAGAAAAGAATAGGAAAAATGGTGAAAATCTATCGATTTGGTGGATTTCATAAATGGTGCCACGGATTTAAACAGTGAAAAAAGGGGGAAAAAAAAAAGAAAACCTCTAAACCAAGCTTTTGAAGTTTATTTATATAGAGTGTGTTTTACAGAAATTATTTGACAAAATGCAATTTCCTCTGCAGTCATGTTTTGTTGTAGTCATGTCAATTTTAAGTCATTTTTACACCCTGCTATCTCATAAGTAAAACCTAGTCTTCCAATTTTACCCCCGCTTCAGTAATCACCTACCAACAGTGCTTCCAATTGCAACGGTTTAAGGTCCGTTTCATTTTGTCACATTTTTTTTATATATACAATTAGATGGGCATGTTTTAGCGTGCAATTCTTATTTTTCACTACATTGAACAACCAAATAGAAATATCTATTTTCCATCTGAAATCTTAATTCTGCTTATAATGTAAGATGAAGTCACACTATACGAGTGCCAAAACAAATAAGGCTGGTCCTGAGTGTATATGTGTGTATATCCAAAGTGGGGCCTTAGGCAATCGCCTACCTCATCTATAATTAGGGCAAGCACTGTAAACCAATTTGGAATTCTTATCCTAGTTGATGCACCATGTAATCTCGTAATTGTTTCCACAACATGTCTTCATCGATCATCGCATCCAACTCAGCTGTAGTTTCATCTTCCTCATCGGGCAGGTCTATCTCCAA